CGGGTCTCTCGATTTTCGACCTCAGTGGTCGATCAACTTTCGGTGTTCGACCCCAGTGGCGGGTCTCTCGATTTTTGACTTTAGTGGTCAATCAGCTTTCGGTGTTTGACTCCAGTGGAGGGTCTCTTGGTATTCGACCCCAGTAGCGGGTCACTCGGTTTTCGACCTTAGTGGTCGATCAGCTTTCAGTGTTCGACCCCAGTGGCGGGTCTTTCGATTTTTTACCTTAGTGATCATTTGGGGTCCCGATGCTCATTTGGAAATCTGGAGACTATTTGGTGGTCGACGATTTATTTAAATTACAACCTTAGTGTCAGGTTGACGGAAACAGCTCGAAGAGGAATTTCACTCTTGGATCGAGTTATGCTTACTCGACCAGAGTGGGGGGACTAGATGATATAGGATATTATATCATAGACCAGTCTTAATGGATAAAAAGGAGATATATTGAAGAATAAGCCTACACATGGCTAAGACACGTGGCATGATGCTATTGGACATGCCCCAACTTGGGCCATAAGATACATTCCTCCTATAAAAGGGGGCCAAGGTATCCCATTCTCGCTCTCTCTCTACATTCATTACTACACTTGAGATTTGGGGTGATTCTGACTTGAGCGTCGGAGGCCCGACGCCGGGACCCCTCCCGGCGTTGTGTTCTTGCAGGTACGGAGGCCGGCCGAGTCGAAGGAGCCCGAGTGAAATCTTATTCACTTCAATATTACAAGATGCAATATTCAATAAAAGTTTTATAATATTCAAGTGGAGTCTTAAAGTCTCTTATACATTAAGACTACTGACAAAATAATATTTTAATCAATGAGTTTCCTTTTCTTGTAGCCAAAATGTGAATGTGATTTGAGGAGTACAACAAATCGATATATAACTGACTTGCTTTTTCATTGTATTTTTTTTCTTTTTTTTTATAATGAATTTAAAGATATTCTAAAATATGGCAAAAATTAATTTTTTTATTACAATTAGGAATTTTACTAAATATAGACTCTTAATCTATGGTGTTAATCAACGTTTAAGTCTAACAAAATAGAAATTTTTACCTCTTTAATCAACGTTTAAGTCTAAAAAACAATAGAGTTATTATAAGTTTTTTTCTACATCTTTTAAAACATTAAATATGAGCATGTTAGGGCTAGCTTGTAAAATAGTTAATATATTATCTCACTAAAACATTTATACTAATAAAAATAATTTTAGCATATAAATTTATCCTTTGATATAAGAGAAAGTAATAGTTTTACTTATTGTTGTTCACCATATAATATTTAATTATTATTTTATTATATAATAAAAAAGGAATATTGTTAAATAGTGTAGTAGAATTGTTATAAAATTATATGAATTTTTTTTACAATATGGATTTAATATTTTTTTATGATTTGATAATATAAACAAATCTATACTTAACTTTGACAAATAAAACAAATAAATACTTTAGTAAGTATTTAATGTATATACTAAAATCAAATACCAAATATAATCAAATAAGTCAAAGTGTACATTTTTATTTGATATTTGATTTTTTTATTATTAAAATTTTTTTTTATACTTACCTTTTTAAAATAAAATAAATAAATAAATCAATTATATAAATAAAATATTATAATACCAAAATAGTAATGACATTTAATGAGTTGACTTTTCTGGATAGTAAATGTAGTAAATAGAATCTCCTTTTATATAAGTATAGGTATGATATTATATCATGTTGTTCAAAATAGTAATGCATTTATTGCATTGACTTTTCAACTTACTAAATTTCGTAAATGGTACACCTTATTATATAAGTATAGATGATGATGTGAACATCATGTGGCTAAGAGAGAGTGTAAATTGTGATTGAATGAATGAATAGAGATTTAGATGCCAAGTGGCGGCGAGTACTCATGGTGCGTGGACCAGGCGTTCATGAGTCGTCTTTGTTAGAGATCTAAAATTCTTTGGGTTCAATCCCAAAAAATTATATGCCACCTAAGTAATAGAACTAATTTAAAAAATATATTCTCCAATGCAAATAAAAGTAGACTGAGTCCTCCTCATGTGACACTCAGAAAAAGAGACCGATCTACCATTAAGTCTATTTTAGACCAAGTAGAGACCTAACCTCGCATTAAAGTGAATTTTATTAATTTTAGATAGTTTTATACTTGAGTTTATTTATATTTCACATAAATAAGACTAGATGCAATGCATTGCAGATGATTAGAAATTTCAATTTATAAAATTTAACTAAAAAACCTACGAAAGCCGAAGATAAAAGATTTGTATTTATCATTTATGAAATAATCATCTAATTCAACTACGTACAACAAATCAAACGGGTTGGGCTCAGCTAAACACAGATTAGGTTTTCCACAATCGCACGCATCAAAACCTCTCAAAATTGGCAATCATAATACCAAGAAAAATTATGCAACCGATTAACTTTTTTCCTTAGTATCATTCGTTGATTGTGTAGCTGTTGATAATTTCTTTTCTTTTGATTTTTTTACCAGTTGGTTCCTTTTGATTTCTCCATCTCCTGAACCCTAGAACGGAAGCCTTGGCATCGCATCTCGTGATTTTGTGTAGCGGTAAGAAGCTAAGTTTCTGATTCGTCGTTTCGATTCAATTAGATTGGCTACATGCTTTGCACGCTTTTGATTTTGTCTAAATTTGTATCGTTTCTTACATTTAGCTATTTCACCATTGTTGTATCTAGGTGTTTGTTGTTGGTCAATTTGTTATCTGCCCGGTGGTTCATGAGATATGGCGGCGTCAGAAGGGAAAGTCAAATATGCATCACTTTCCAGTCTGGAAAAAGAGAACAGCAAATATACCTATGTAGATGACTTTGATGACACTGATTGGAATGCGCAGGGACAGAATCTCAGTGGCCCTAATGAAAAAGTATCATACCCATTTCCTGTTGACACAGAAGATTTTACTGAGGGAGGGTATGACTCTGGAGAGGATCAGTTCACCCCCCTGCCTAGAAACGGCTGCCCGCCAGAGGTGAACCTGAAAAACGTTATGAGTGGGATATTTGCTATTCTGACTGGGCGAAACAAGCACAACTCAGGCCTCGGTATTCTTCCGCAGCTGCCGAGCTCGAATGTGTCGTTTCTTGGATCTGCAAAGAATGGTGAGACGTTTGTGCACTCTTCGGTTTACATTCCTAGCGCCCCGCCCCTCCTTGAGCCGAACGCATTTAACTATAATGCTTTCAAAGAGGTTTTGGAAGCTGAGCCGCCTGAATGGCTTCCGGACAGCTCAACTACTGTCTGCATGCAGTGCAATGCTCCCTTTACTGCCTTCACTCGTGGAAGGCACCACTGCAGATTTTGCGGGAGCATCTTTTGTAGGGTTTGCTCAAAAGGGAGGTGTTTGCTTCCCGCTAAATTTAGGGAGAGAGACCCGCAGAGGGTGTGCGACACCTGCTATGATAGGCTTGATCCTCTTCAGAGTGTGCTGGTCAATACCATCAGCAATGCCGTGCAGGTTGCGAAGCATGATGTGATGGATTGGACTTGTTTAAGAGGGTGGTTGAATCTACCTGTGGGTCTGTCCATGGAGCATGAAATATACAAGGCATCCGTCACATTGAGAAGCTACAGCCGGGTGTGGTTTTAATAGCATTAGTTGTTTCTTGCTTTTCTAGTTGTTGATATTAGAACATGTAGACTGTTTTTGTTCCGGGTCTTTGAGTTATTTTGCTATTTTAAATAATTAAATTGTCCTTTTTAAGAATATAGTGGACGGTTATGGGCAAATATGCGCAGGTAGCTAGGTTGAACCCTGAGAAGTCCATACCTGCTGCCGTTTTGAAAGGAGCCAGAGGTTTAGCCATTCTTACTGTTGTTAAAGCTGGTGTGCTACTTGCTTATAAAGTTGGAACTGGATTGGTTGTTGCACGAAGATCAGATGGGTCGTGGTCTGCTCCATCAGCGATTCTCTCGCTAGGACTGGGTTGGGGTGCTCAGGTATGCAATGAGTTTGTTCTGGATTGACGTTTGTGTTCTTCCCACTTAACGGTAATTACTTGCGAAATAGGACCACAGCTCAAGTCCCTTCCCTTACTCTCTCTACAATGAGTAATGATTCTTCTTCTACTTCTCAAATTATGCATATCAGACCCACTGAAACTTCCAAAAGGGAAAGACATCTAAAAACAATAGTGTATGGGAAGTTATTGTATTTTATGTCATTAAACGGATTTTGCTACAGGCTGACAACAATTTTTTGAACTGGGAGTTAATTGTGGAGATGTACTTAATCTGTATCTGATTTCAAACAAAGCTAGTCTGATTTACCTTCCAAGAGAACTTGTTTTCCTTTGGCCTCATGTTTGCTTACTATGTAAATCACAGGTTGGGGGTGAACTCATGGATTTCATAATTGTGATGCATGATGCGAATGCTGTGAAAACATTCTGCAGTCGCATGCATTTTTCTCTTGGTGCCGGTTGCAGTGCTGCAGCTGGACCAGTTGGGAGAGTTGTGGAGGCAGATTTGCGAGCTGGAGAAAAAGGCTCTGGCATGTGTTACACTTACAGTTGCAGCAAAGGTATAGTTCTATTAGTGTTCTTGTCATCTCAGAAACAGCTGTATTTTGATATTCTTAGTTCATTTTGTGTTGTTTGTTAATCAGAAAGTTAATGTATAGTGAATTTGTTGAGATTCTGAAAATACGTTTTTACTTCGGTAGCCCATAATGTTTTGGTGCTTTAGAACATCTCTGTCGAAATGGAGTAATATGCATGTATTATAGAGCTTATGTGCCTGGCAAATGACAATGAAGGGTGTGTTGAAATGGATATTCCCTTATAACTACTGTCTGTATGCTGCTGTTTATCAAAAGTAAGAGGTGTTTTAAGTAATCATGGAAGTAAGACCTTATATTTATTTCTCCCAGTAAAGAAGGGATTGTGTATGTTTACTAATATACTCACTTTGATCATGTAATTTCATTGTGGGGGTGGGTTCTTTGTCCAGTAACTGTATGATTTGCATATCAGCTTTCTATGTTTACGTTGCATAGGCATAAACTAATCACATTAGTCTTTGCTCAAATGACATTTACTAGCCAATGTTACTCCAGTTTTAGTAAATGTTGCACTCCGTACTTGAGAACACTGCCAAGTGTTTCCATCTTATCACATTGAAAGGCCAGTATAATAATTAATACTTAATAGTACTCATTAGTTGTGCCTTTACCTGTGACAAAAGTATCATCTTGATGAGTTAGAGATCATGGCTTAGGTGAAAACCTGTTGGTAGCAATGATAATCAACTTAACAAGTTCTTACGAGGTGAACGAAAAAAAGAAGCATAACCAGGACGTGGACACTAGTTGTGGTGTTATTTGTTGTAATAGGGATTTTACATTTAGTTGGTTTGTAGAATCTAAAAGCAGTTTAGCGTTAGCATGGGACGAAGTATTGGAGATTTTATTTTACTTTGATACAATTGTTAGGCCTTGAAATTTGGTATTGAGATGTGATTAGGAGGTGCCTAAGGGTAAAATAGGTACTAAATCATTTTTTGTTGAAATTTTTGAATTGGCAAGATTTCAAATGACTTGATACAGTTTATGGATTTGAAATTCATAATGACTCCATGCAGACATAAGGATTTTTTATTTATATTTTTTAAATGGGTTTGAAACCCATAGGTCCAAGCCCTTTAAACGAAAGTTCTTTTGGCAAAGTCGTATATATCAATAAGCATTTGAAGGGAACGGTTATTCTATTGTACACATTAATGTTGATATTTCTCAGGTGCATTTGTTGGGGTCTCATTGGAAGGAAATGTTGTTGCCACAAGAATGGACACAAATCTTCGTTTTTATGGAGATCCCTATCTAACTACAGCCGATATTCTTCTTGGGACTGTTGAAAGACCAAAGGCTGCTGAGCTTCTCTACTCTGCTCTCAGAGAGCTCTACTCCAAATTGTGATGCTAAAAGTTCTAAGCGTCTCATTGTGTGTGTACAAGCTCAGAAATGCACTTATATCAAAAGATGCTGATGGGATGTGTAATGCCTTTGTTTTCAAGCGGCGGGAAGAGTTTGTTGAACTTGTGGCATATGATATGTATATAAATTGCTGCTTTCATTTGATTGATGCGCACTTCCCTAAATCTTGTTTAAGCTTTGAAAAGTCATTTTAGGTTCATGCGCATGTAAATAGATGTTTCTATAATTGCTTTACTAGCTACACTTTCAAGAATGAATGTTCATATATTTAAGATTGCAGCAATTAAAGTTATCAGGGAAATGAAATTACAGAAATGTTTCTGGCCAGGGATTAAGTTTTAAATAAGATTCAGATTGAGTTCAAGTCTAGTAATGTCCAGTAGTATTAGTGCAGAGTAACTTGGAAATTTTTTGTGCATCATTGTTTTGTTGTGTGGCAAGTTGAGGGACATTTCTCAAGGAGTTGTTTATTCTTCCTAACACGGCCGCAACATTCTTGCTCGAACGGACTAGGTGGATCTGAACTTTTGCCTTCTCACAATTGAGCCTTTTCACGATTATGTGATTTACTTGCTACTTGACCACATGCAAGTTGTTTAGGAGAATTTCTATAACAATTTACAGGAGAGAAAGAACTAACTCTTGGCATAAAAATACGAATATAGATAACAATCAAAGATCGAATGTGTATCTGTTCTTTTTTTCTTTACCCCCCCTGAAGAAACAATTGGGGTAGTATTTAAGGTAATTTATAATTTGCGAAAACAATTGACACAAGTTCATAATCGAACGGAGTTAAAAAAGATGGTTAAGATTCAGTCGCTGACTTGGTGTTTATATTCATACTAGTATTCGACCTGTGCATTTGCACAGATATAAATAAATTATTGTGAGTCTGTACATATAATGATTAATTATTTTTCTTTCACTTTTTTGCAGACCAAATTTACAATTAAAAGAGTTGAAATATTTTTTTTTTTAAATTGCGTTTATCTGATTGGATGTAATGTATATTTTGGTACGTCTTTTATTTGTGAATTATTTATTATTTATTTAGAAATTTCAAATATATTTTTTAGTTTAAAAAAAAAAAAAATTAAATGTAACAACAATAATAACATCTAATCACATTATACGGTCAACACATTATATGGTCAACTGTCATTAATCAAAAGTTTAAAATGATTTTTGTAATTTTGAAGTGATGAGTATTAATTATTTAATGATTAAATGAAAGATTAAATACATCAAAATGTAACGGTTTTTGGAGGGAAAATCAAGGTTGTCAAAACCGGACCGGTCATCGAATCGGTGAAGCTACTGGTTCAATGGTTCACTGGTCGGACCAGTGGTCGAACTGGTCGAACCGATTTAATTAATATATAATTTTTTATTTATTTTATATGTACATTATATAATTACATATATTTTTATCATTAGTTTTATAGTATATAATGACATTTCTCTGTATATAAATTAATTGTATTTATTTTTTATCATTAATTTTATATGTATAATATATAATTATATATATTTTTATCATTAATTGATTAAATGTTAAAGTGTTAAACTTATTATGTAAGGTTTATATTTATTTTGTAAAATTGTAAATTTATAATAATAATATATATGATTTTATTTATATTTTTCTAAGTTGGGCTTTTACTTTTGAGTTTTGAATTTTAAAAGAATTTGCATTTCAAACTTTGCATAAGGACATTAAAAAAAAAATGGTCCAAGACTTTACAACTTGCAATTGCTTATGTGTATACCCAAAAAAAGGCCCAATCATTTGAAAGTCACTGGGCCTTTTGATATTTGAATGGCCCACGCAGCAAGTCCAGCAACAAGCAAGTAAAAAGAAAGGAAACGCCTTGTCCCACATTGGAAAACTAACAGAGAAATAAAGAGTTTATACTTTATAAGATAAAAGTCATCCAACCTGTTTGAAATAGTAGCCGCTGAGCCAGTGGAACCGGAGCCGGTTTCCAACCGGTCCGAACGGTTTTTGACCGGTTTTGGTGCTCAACAGTTTAATGACTAAGACCGGACCGTTTAGATGTCCGGTTCCCGATTGAACCGGTCGAACCGGCCGGTCCGGTCCGGTTTTGACAACTATGGGGAAAATTGTTAAATTGCCACATAGGTAATTTAAATAGGTTTTATTAAATTCTATTAGCTAGTAATTATATATATATAGATTCACAAAAGCTAATCAGGTTAAGAAATTGAGGATGATTTTCTGTATTTATAAGATCATCTCCAATGGGATCTTGTCTATTTTAGATAGAATGGTACTAAGAAAGGAGATTAAAAAATTATATCTCCAATGGTTAATGTTGAAGATGGTTTAATTTGACATGTGCAAAATTTTAATTGTTTGATAAAAATAAAAAAATTGATTAAATAATATAATATATAATAGAAGTTGTCTAGAAGTACTTCTACATCTAGAATGACTTCTAGAATTTTTTTATGCCACATAGTTTTTTTGTGCCAGTTGACAATAAAATAAGACAATCCAAAGGCCATTGGAGATGCTCTAAGCTTTGGAAGGCTTGTCTCCAACGGTTCCGCATATTTTAACGCAAACGCAAAATTTGAGGGGAAACTTTTCCTACAGAAACCTACAAACCAACACAAAATAGGATTTTACAATTTCTCTCTCCAGAAAAAATTGCAAAAATGCGTATCTACTTTCCCTGTACGTGAAAGTTGTTCATAATTTATACCTATATAAAAAGAATAACCTTTTTTTAAAAAAGGAAACTCATTAATTACTTTCTATTACTAGAAAATTATTTCTTTGTTTCCTCAAATAAGGCGTGCAACATTAACTATCGCCTAAAAATTTTAAGTCGATAAAAACAATCTGATAAGTTTTTCTAATACACACGTTTGGTTTATCAATTTCAATACACATCTGAATTCAAAATAGATACACGCTTAAATTGAACAAATTTAAAAAAAAAATCGCCTGAGTAATTTGTATCTTATTTTGATGGATAATTTGTATCCTATTTTAATAGATAGATACACGTATAAAAAAAATAAAAAAAAATTATGTATAAAAAAGTTAAAATATCACACAAACGATAGATTACAAAATGATAACACAATTTTTTTAAACTTGCAAAATACTGATACCTAATCTAAAGAGCCGTGTATAAAAAGGTGGTTTAATTAATATAATATTTTTATATAAATTAAAATTCATGAATTTGTTACTTTCTATTTTTATCTATATGTGAGATTTATTTCAAAATCCTATTTTTTTTTTTTATACGGGATCTATATGTATATAAGAAGAATAAATTTTTAAACATGTTGTCTGGGCAAATTTTTTACACGTGTATATATATATATAGATGTTAACTTTAAGTGTTTTAGATATATTTTTCTTATAAAATTGTCTAGAAAAATTTAAGTAATTTCACATTTTTCACGAATAATATATAATATTTTAGGTACTCTTATATAATAGTCTAGATATTCTTAATGTTATTTCGGTTGTAATATTATTAAAATATATAATATTTTAGATACTTTTAAAAATATTAGGTGACTTCACGCATATTTCATAAATAAAATAGAATATTCAGGTACTTTTGCACATGTGATATAAGGTTTTATTTTAGTTGACTTCACACATATTTCACATCTTTCAATAATGATATATAAAATTTTAGATACTTTTCCCTACGTTATATAATATTTTAGGCGTGTTTAATATCATATATTAACTCCACATCTTCAATTTATAATTATTAGTTAATATTCTTTATTCTCATCTTTAATTTATAATTATTATTTAATATTATTTACCCGTGCATCGCACGGGATACGCACTAGTTCTATTTCATGGGGCTGTATTGATTAGATTTAAAGCGAAGTATAATTTGCCCAGACATTTGACAACAAAACTTCATAACCATACAAAGTTAAAAAGACATAGCTAAGGATCGCATTGACTTCTCGCTTTCATAATTCCAAGTTTATATTGTAAGTTTATATTCTTCTCTTATTGTAGACCATATAATTAGTTAGATTTAATTGATTTAATTGTCAAACTTAATTAAGGTGAATATGTATTTAGTGGATTACTAATGTTCTAATATTAAAGAGTTTAATTTGTGATGTTTTTTTTTTTTAGAACGACAATTATATTAATAACTTAAAAACTCAAAATAGTACAACCGAAGTGTCAAATGACACACTGGAACCAGAAGACTGGACCAACCCCCTTGTCATCACACGCAAGGGGTACAAACTCCATCAAGGAGGCAAACAACTACAAAACAAAACTCCAAAAAGCAGACACAGCTGCACTAAAAGCAGACGAAGCTGCACTGGAAGCAGACAAAGCTGCACTAACGAACACTAAGAAAATTAAAACAACACACACCTAATAAATAAATATAAAATATAAAGTAAGACCTCCCCTAAACCTAGACAGTAAACCGTACGACCAACCAACTTGGCACACGAGCCGTCACCCACAACAAAAATTCCAACAGAACTACAAATCTAGACTCCAGACCCAAAAACTGCGGTTAAACTCAAACCGCCTAGACAGATCTGACAAGGAGGCGATTCTCAGTCCAAATCTGAGCTCCATCAACATTCACGCCAGGGAGAGCCGCCTCGAAAGACGACATCGAAGGAGTCACGTTGGAAGAACACGCCGAGCCACACGGGAAGAGCCCACAACCAAGGACCCAGATGGGTTCCCCCAAAATCGGCCCGCAGCTGTTCGGGTGCCTCCAAATGAGGATATAAATCTGACGATCGGAAGGCCAAAAGACTCCGACGGACCGGCCCGAGGCTGGCGGCGTACATTGCGAGACAGCGGCCCCTACCTGTGTCAGAGAGAGAGGCGGTGAGGCGGGAGCCTCCGCCCAGCAGAGCCCTCGCGCGACAGCGGGTGGGGCGGGTGAAAAAGCCTCCAACCTCGGGCCCAGCCATGGCCGGGGAAGAGGAGTGTCGGTTTACCGACAGGAGAAGGAGAGGTGGCGCTAGATCTGAAGATGTAGAAAGATTTGGGGAAATGGAGGTTTTTCTCCTCTCAGCGGCAGAAGGGTTTTTTAATTTGTGATGTTTGACTTAGACAATAAGTTAGGTTAGAACATGAGAAATGTTAGTAAGGTTAGGATTGTATGTCTCATCCTAGGGATGAATTTATTAAAGGCCTGGGCTGGGCTGAAGCCCAGACCCGTTAACTTTTATTTAACACTTATTAGGCTATAATCTTTTTTATATTGTGTTTCTAGCCCACCCAATAAACAAATCCACTAACCCATCAAAATAAGCAAATAACTCATCATAAGTCCAAACACCACTCTATTCTCTAATAAAATATGAGAAATTTATACCATGTACGATACATATAATTT